GACTGTGGGCCACGTGTTCGGGGGAGGGAGGCCTGGTTCAGATTCAGTGAAATTCTACTTGACCGAGCATGCATAGCCTGCTGTTGCTTCAGGCTGAGACCAGATAAATTGACCATGCACAAAAACCGGTATAGTGTGAGTCAATCTCTACGTGTCTGTTTATACTAGCCGGGCTCAAGTGCCAAGCTTCGAGGAATTCTCTCGCTTGTCGCGTATTAGCCATTGCGATCATGTCGGTGTCATCCAAATTGAAGCGATCACACTCAAGAAAGTACGCAACTATGAGCGATAAACGGTACCGTAGGCCAACGGCTGACTTATGTTCCTTGATGCGAGTCTCAAGGCGTCGGCCTGTGTGGTCAATATAAACACAAGGGCAACCAGCGGACGGTATACGGTAAATGACGTCACTTATTCGTTCCACGGGTACTGGGTCCTTTACTCGACATAGACTTACGCGCAGTGACGATGCGGGCTTTTGGGCGACGGAGATGCCAAAACGACTTAGTTGCCGAGAGATGGCTTTATATATTCCATTCATGTAGGGTGGAGAATAAAATTTCCGTGGTACTATACCTTCATTGAGAGGGAAGTGTTATGCTTGACCCCGACGTCTAAGACAATTCTTGACAAAGCTTGTCGAATATCTGTTGGCCCGGAAGAATTTGTACAAATACGTTAGTTCCCTCTCACTGCAATAACGGTGGGTTCGTTGGAAAAGAATACGAACACATCTTCTTTGATGGGCCTCAGGGTGGTTACTCCTATAGTTAAGGATGATTTCTGCAGTGGAGTCCTTTCCGTAGACGCTTGTTGCGAGTTCGCCATTCGTGAGTCTTTTTATCCCCACGCCAAGGGATGGGAGGGTATCTCCTCTTGCAAGTATGTTTTGCGTTCACAAAATCGAGGTAAATGCAATTATGAGATTGCCCATTACTAACGCGAACAAAAGAGCCAATTCGATTTAGAATAAGGCTGTAATTGTTTTACCCCAATTAAAATAAGGACCATAAACAAGCGAGATATGCCATTCACTTTACCTGTCAAGGTGTTAGTAAGGATAAAAAGCATTTGCTACCTAGGAAGCAGAACCAATGAATACAAAAAATTGGAAGGAAATGGTTATTCGTCTTCTCAAAGTCGTTGCTGATATTCTGCTAGGATATTCTGCTAGGTATATCTATTCGTGGATTTTTGTGAACGTTCATGCTTTTTCGAACGTGGGTTAACATGCTTGGGTGATTATGAGACCATGACCGAACCGTACAGTTTTATGAGAAACAATGTTTAAAAATACGTTATTCAGGTAAAAGCTTTTAAGTAATATCTTATTCTGAAGGTATGAATAAGCACGTAGAACGCAATACTTAAATATGGCCAAGATAATGAAGCGGGTGAAAAAGGTAAGTTTTTATTATCATTTCAAGAAATATATGAACAGCATCATGATCGATATCACAAAATAATAAAAAAGGAAAAATGGCGGAAGGAAATTTCGCTCAAAATACAAAAGGTAGTACGTTTGTAATTGTACCTGACTATTCCATTTGAACTCATTTGTCACTAACCAGCATGTCTGCACGTGCGCTTGCGAAATATCTTACTCCTGTGACCTCCGAATTGGCAAAATCAAGCGAAAAAAGTTGTTGCCTTATTCCAGTGTAAATCAAGCAATGCACAAATGCAAGAAACAAGTAGAAATTCTCATTGCATTACATTGCACACAATATGGATGCATATGCGTCCGAAAAGTTTTAAAGGTGGTTATTTTCCGACGAAATTATACTTGTGCTGTCTTTTTGCATGATGCAACTTTAGTGTACGCAGTAAGCCTGATTTTCACATTTTCGGAATATAAACTTTTGCCGAAAAAGCTTGTATTTCTTAACAACGTAATCCTCCTGAATGTGAAGGACAACGAGTACTTTATTGCTGCAAGACTTTGGGGGTCGCTGCCTGGGCTGGTTGTAAGTGACAGGAAGTTATTTGTAAAAATCCTTTGGTTTCATGAGTTAGAAAAGATACTGCCAGAGACAAATCGTCAGAGCATATATCCCACGTCTTAGCACCCATAATCAGAGACTGAATGCGGATCAGATAAGTCAGGCAAGTTCGATTATCGTTTCTGCCTCTGCACTCTCATTCTTTGGAAAAAGACGACGTACTTGCCCATTGCTCTACATCAACAATTTCCAAACAGGAGCAGATATGTGAGACCACACAGGGAAGACTCTGAAGGACCCACTTGCAGCCTTAATATGCATCAGGAGAAGAAAGACGTATAATTTCGGCATCCGGATGATATAAATGGAGCCTTTATTGTGGGCACGCTCGTCGGTGATGGTTTGAGAACTACCTAAAAAGCTCCACTTTCCTATTTTGTATGATTGCATGCTGTGACAG